ATCACTCGGGGGAATGTTCAACAGGCATTGCACAATGTCTGAACAACAAGCGTGCAGTCCTCTATTTACAAAAAAACCCGATACTTTGAAGATTGAGGACAGGATTGATGTATTTATTCATTCTCAAAATACGCCAATATGCCGTGTGTCTATGCACTGGTTATTATGGGGTTATCAAATACACGTATTGTCGCTCCGTCTCGTTTTGACTGGGTGGCTTTGTTGTTTACGCGAATTGGAAGGATTTGTGCAACCGGTGATTCTGCAGCAGCAGTGGTGGTGAGTCGTGCTCTCCAACAGCAGCAGCACGCGTGGTCATCGTGACACGGAGTGGAGAAGGGGAGCAGTGCTTTCACACAATCTCTCTCTCACACAGGGACAAGTGGCTGTTTGCGAGCATCAGCCTATTCTCCTGCCTTAAAGAATGATGGCGTGACCGGCACCAACCCAAGCTTCATTTGATCTCCCCCTGTGCCGATGCAGTAATCACACTCTTCTAGATGCGGTACTTCAATAAGGCTGAGTTTACCCCAGGAAAGCCCATGGTTGATTCGGAAAACACCACGGTGGCGAGGAGATGTTAACTACCTCGCCTGGTGCACAGGAGGTCGTGGGCTCGATCCCGAACCTGACGCCTGCTGCTGTATATTTGGAGTTTGCGTGTCTCTCTCATAATCATCACGGTGGCTAGGAGATGTTAACTACCTCGCCTGGTATACAGAAGGTCGTGGGCTCGATCCCGACCCTGACGCCTGCTGCTGTATATTTGGAGTTTGCGTGTCTCTCTCATAATCGTCACGGTGGCTAGGAGATGTTAACTACCTCGCCTGGTGCACAGGAGGTCGTGGGCTCGATCCCGACCCTGACGCCTGCTGCTGTATATTTGGAGTTTTCGTGTCTCTCTCCACCGCGGTCGCGTGGGTTTTTCTCCGGGTCCTCCGGTTTTTCCCTCCACATTTAGAATCAACACGCGTTGCTATTGTCTACGCGTGGCTGGGAATCAAAGTCATCAGGAGCACAGCAGCACAGCGCACTATATATGTGCACAGATGTACAAGACACGCAGCTATGCACGCAGATATAACGTACATAGCGATGTGCTACAGGCCCCACTATGTACATGTTATAAAGGGGTCCTAAATATAAAAAAACACATACATATTAAAACACACAATTTTTACTTGCATAGTAAAGTAATTGGATTTTTTCATTTGCTATACAGCCAGATAATACGACAAATCGCTAACCTTAAACACCCAGTCGTTCATACAAGTTGAAGGCAGTATAGTACTATAGTAATAGAGCAAGTGCAGTGGCCCTTGAAAGTGCGGGGCCCGTAGCTACATTTGTAGCTACTTGTGCTACTGGGATAATCCGGCACCAAGGACATACCATTTGAACTTGTGAACACGCTTATTTTGGCACGGCAGACTGTGTCCACATTCCAATGCAGAGGGCCATCAAAAACGCTCCAAAATCATAAAAAAAACTCGCACAAGTGGCTTAATTGTGAAATCACAGTCATCGCGTTTGGTGGGCTGTGACATCACCGGTGCCGGCTGGGAGGGAGGGGGGTGCTGGGAGGGAGGGGGGGAGGGAGGGGGGTGCTGGGAGGGAGGGGGGAGGGAGGGGGGTGCTGGGAGGGAGGGGGGTGCTGGGAGGGAGGGGGGAGGGAGGGGGTGCTGAGAGGGAGGGGGGTGCTGGGAGGGAGGGGGGAGGGAGGGGGTGCTGGGAGGGAGGGGGGGAGGGAGGGGGTGCTGGGAGGAAGAGGGGAGGGAGGGGGGGTGCTGAGAGGGAGGGGAGTGCTGAGAGGGATGGGGGTGCTGGGAGGGAGGGGGGAGGGAGGGGGGTGCTGGGAGGAAGGGGGTGCTGAGAGGGGGGGGTGCTGGGAGGGAGGGGGCAGGGAGGGGGGTGCTGAGAGGGGGGGGGGTGCTGGGAGGGAGGGGGGAGGGAGGGGGGAGGGAGGGGGTGCTGGGAGGAAGAGGGGAGGGAGGGGGGGGGTGCTGAGAGGGAGGGGAGTGCTGAGAGGGATGGGGGTGCTGGGAGGGAGGGGGGAGGGAGGGGGGTGCTGGGAGGAAGGGGGTGCTGAGAGGGGGGGTGCTGGGAGGGAGGGGGCAGGGAGGGGGGTGCTGAGAGGGGGGGGGGTGCTGGGAGGGAGGGGGGAGGGAGGGGGGAGGGAGGGGGGTGCTGAGAGGGGGGGGGGGGTGCTGGGAGGGAGGGGAGAGGGAGGGGGGTGCTGAGAGGGGGGGGGTGCTGGGAGTGAGGGGGGAGGGAGGGGGGTGCTGGGAGGAAGGGGGTGCTGAGAGGGGGGGGTGCTGGGAGGGAGGGGGGTGCTGAGAGGGGGGGAGTGCTGGGAGGGAGGGGGGAGGGAGGGGGGTGCTGAGAGGGGGGGTGCTGGGAGGGAGGGGGGAGGGAGGGGGGTGCTGAGAGGGGGGGGGGGTGCTGGGAGGGAGGGGGGAGGGAGGGGGGTGCTGGGAGGGAGGGGGTGCTGAGAGGGGGGGGGGTGCTGGGAGGGAGGGGGGAGGGAGGGGGGTGCTGGGAGGAAGGGGGGAGGGGGGTGCTGGGAGGAAGGGGGGAGGGAGGGGGCGCTGGGAGGAAGGGGGTGCTGGGAGGGAGGGGGGAGGGAGGGGGGTGCTGGGAGGAAGGGGGTGCTGGGAGGAAGGGGGGAGGGAGGGGGGCGCTGGGAGGAAGGGGGTGCTGGGAGGAAGGGGGAAGGGAGGGGGGCGCTGGGAGGAAGGGGGTGCTGGGAGGAAGGGGGAGGGAGGGGGGCGCTGGGAGGAAGGGGGTGCTGGGAGGGAGGGGGGAGGGAGGGGGGTGCTGGGAGGAAGGGGGTGCTGGAAGGGAGGGAGGGGGGCGCTGGGAGGGAGGGGGGTGCTGGGAGGGAGGGGGGAGGGAGGGGGGTGCTGGGAGGAAGGGGGTGCTGGGAGGGAGGGAGGGGGGTGATGGGAGGGAGGGGGGTGCTGGGAGGGAGGGGGTGCTGGGAGGGAGGGAGGGGGGCGCTGGGAGGGAGGGGGGTGCTGGGAGGGAGGGGGGAGGGAGGGGGGTGCTGGGAGGAAGGGGGTGCTGGGAGGGAGGGAGGGGGGTGATGGGAGGGAGGGGGGTGCTGGGAGGGAGGGGGTGCTGGGAGGGAGGGAGGGGGGTGATGGGAGGGAGGGGGTGCTGGGAGGAAGGGGGTGCTGGGAGGGAGGGGGGTGATGGGAGGGAGGGGGTGCTGGGAGGGAGGGGGTGCTGGGAGGGGGGTGCTGGGAGGGAGGGGAGTCCCAACTTCGCGTGGTTCAAGAATCCCCCACGGGACGCCCCCCCCCTCCCCACAGCTGAGCCAGGGGTTCAGCGGTGGTCGGTAGCAGTGCCGGATTATCGTAGTAGCACAAGTAGCTACACATGTAGTCGTAACTACGGGCCCCGCACTTTCAAGGGCCCCGCGCTAAATGCTTTCAATCTATCAATTCCGCTTCAGTGATTCTGCACTTGCTCTATCACTATAGTACTATACCGCCTTCAACTTGTATGAACGACTGGGTGTTTAAGTTTAGCGATTTGTCGTATTATCTGGCTGCATAGCAAATGAAAAAAATATCATTACTTTACTATGCAAGTGAAAAAAAACAATCTACGAGGATAATCCTGCACTGGGTGTCGGGGTTGCGATCGAAACCCACGACCTCCTGTAGACCAGGCGAGGTAGTTAACATCGCACCGCTGTGCTCAAATGAGTATGGAGACGACACTCGTCCCTAATGTGGCAATCCCTCGTTTTGTATACTGAGTGTCACAGACACAGGGGAGAGCATACGCATTGGAGAACGTTGGCATGTCAAAGACTTGGGCAGGAAGCGTAGCGAGAAGCGATGTTGGCCCAATGATCGACACTCGTTACGCAGTGGCCACCAAGAGCTCATGCATCGGGTGTTGGGGGTGATTAATCACGTCGCAAGGTGGTGAGAGATGGCTGTGGCTTAGGTGGATTGAGCATGGCTGATCACGATTGTTCTCTACTACACACATCTCAAAACATTTTAATGCGTTTAAAAACAGGTGTTTCTACGGTATGCATTTTTTCTCGCTCTTGATTGTAAACGTTTGAATGGTTCCAAAGCCAAGGCCATGAAATATTAAAGAGTGTATCAGGTTTGCTATTGTGAAGCAATATGCCTTTACAGGAAGCGTTTTTGTTAAATTACCAATTGTTTCCCCAAACTATTGTTTACATATGTAATGGGTTCCGGAGACACTTGTAGATGTAACTTCTTTATTACAATACAACACTCCAACAGTCCTGATACTCTGTTACAGCCTAGGTACACAGCCTAGCTACACAGCCTAGATACTCTACTCTGGCTACGCTCTGGACTCGCCCTCACAAGGTCGTAGCGTCGGGAGTTCCAGAGTCCCAGCGCTGGCTCTCACAGCATCCCAGGGTCTTCAGATGGCTGGTCGTGGGTCTTGGGTCTTGAGTTACAACTGGGCCGATCGTCCAGGGAGCTCTCCTTTTATGCCTGGTCCGACGAGGGGTGGGTCTTGTGCGCCACCAGACATCCCACAGAGCACACACAGCCCCCCCCCCCCCCCCCATTGGCGGCGCCAAAAAGGCTTAAGCGCCTGGGAACCCAACGCCTGGCGCCCAAAGGCTTAAAAGCGTCTGGACCCACCTGGGAACCCAGAGCCTACAGCAGCCCCTCCCTTCTTATGTCACTACACATAATTCACTCGTTGCATGTGAAAATAAAAAAGACCCAGGAAATCCTCAATTCTATCTACACAAAGCTCCTGGCGTGCGATGTTGCCATCATATCTGCAGACATGCCACTCTGTATGTACTTTGATCTTCTTTTGCGCCGTACGTAGCCAAATGTGCTTATCGTCGGTGTGGAACATGGCCACCATTTGACTGCAGACACGCTGGCCTCAACCGTAGTCGAACACGTGTGACGACACGTTGAAACCAAGTCGCTGAACGTGTGACATTTCTCATCCAAAATGACTCGATCAAAATGCGGAGATGCAATTCGAAAATGGAAAAGCTCTTTTATTTGTTGCCGAAGTCCACGTCCCAAGACGTCGACCTTTAAACATCGTTACAAACACCTTCGTGGAAGAAGGTTTGAATCCCACCATCACGATTATTAAGTCTTTCCCTGCTCCATCAGTCAAGTGGCTCGCGAGTAATTTTCGCCTCGGCGCTCGCTCCATGCATGCACTTCTCTACCAACTCCGCCAGGTCAGAACGACCCACCGGGTGGACACTGGACAGCCGTCATTGTGCGAGGCACAGCGACTCGCGAAGTGCGGTTAGAATGGCGATACTGCCGGACGCCGGGACTTGCCTCCGACGTTTGGATGACTTAGAGCAGTTGCCAAAGCGTCTTAAAATGCGGTCACACCATGTCGTGTCTATTAACGTCGATTTTTGTTCTTGCAATTGAAGTCACCACCAGATTGCACTCGCGTATAATGTTATTCTGATTGCATGTAGCCATATACACACATTCGGAGCCTTCGGGAAAAATCAATTGCAACCCACAGCCAGTAAACACCGATTCTGTACACGCGGTCTTGCAAAACGATTAGAGAATAATGCACCGCTGTGCTGGTTAAATTCTAACGTTCCCATTCCGACTGTAACGTGTATCATTAATAGAAAGGATATGCAGGTAAAATCAACTTTTGTGACAATTCAATCATTCCATGGTTTTGATTAGCCGTTATAGCAAACAAGCATAGTACACCGATGTCTTATGTAAAGCTTTTTCTTTTAGTTAACTCAAAGCTGCATAAAAACATTTGTAAATCCTGGTTGCATTTGTCTTTGTTCGGGTACGTGTGGCTGTGTGTGGGTGTAGGTGGGTGGGTGTACGTGTGTGGGGAGCGGTAGTGTAGCGGTTAGCACGCTGCACTATGAACCCAGCCACCTGGGTTCGATTTCCGCTCACGGCCTACACCGGTGACGATTATCTGAACCGGTCCTGGGCCTTCCCTAGATCGACTCAGCTTCAAATGAGAACCTGGTGCGGTGTGTAAACATCGCCATTGGGGAGACAAAGGTGTGGTGCTGGCCACCCACCCCCTCGTGTACCGTTTCGGCTTTCATAGGTGCTCGCTAACAGCACTTGCCTCGACAGTCTGGTAAGGCTATACGGGTGATCTTTGTTTTTGCGTTAAACTAAAACTCACTGAGCTATACAGCTATTTGTCAGAAGCGACCTGGCCACCAATGATAGCCCAACGAAGTGGCTTATCGCGTGCAAATTTATAGCAGCCAAATACTCTCAATGCACATTTCTAAATGTGGAGAGGGAAAACTGTGCACCTGCCCCAAAAGGCTGTTGAAGGCTATACGGGGAATCTTTGTCTTTGTGTTAATGGGAGTTGCGGTCTCGTGGTCAGCACACTGCACTACAATCCCGGTGATTTGCGTTCAAATCCTGGCCATGCACACACCAGCAACACGCCTCTGAACTTGCCCCGAGCTTCCCCGAGCCGAGCTCTGCCCGAAATATTTACCGAGAACAGTGTGGTCAGCACCAGCACTGAGAAGACAAAGGTGCTGGTGATACTGGCCACACCATCCCCCCTCCTGTGCTGTGCTGCCTTAATAGGTGCTCACTAACGGGGCTTATCCTGACCACATACAAGTCTAAGAGGCAGATCTTCACGTACGAATGTGGGTCTAAACGCATGTGTACATGTATGTGTGAGTGTATATGTGTGTGAGTACATGTGTGAATGTGTGTATGTGTTTGTGAAGGAAGATGTGTGCATGTTGTGTATGTACGTATGTTGCATGTATGTTGAATGTATGTTGAACTTCTTTTGCACTGTACGTAGCCAACCGTGCTTATCGGAGTGAATGTGTGTATGTAGTGGGGTGCGGTAGTAAAGCGGTTAGCGTGCTGCGCTATTAACCCAGAGGCCCGAATTCACTTCCCGCTCACAGCCAACACCAGTGATGATTATCTGAACCAGCCACGATTCTCCCCTAGGTCAACTCATCTTCAAATGAGGACCTGGTGCAGTGTGTGAACACATCCACCTGGGAGACAGTGGGTGGCCAGGCGCGGTGCTGGCAACCCCCCACCTACCTCCTCGTGTGCCACAGTGCTACTCCCTTAAAGCACTTGCCCCAACAGTCTGTGAAGGCTACGAAGGGGATCTTTGTGTGTGAGTGCATGCGTGTGTGTGTGTGCGTGTGCGAGGTCTCAGTTGGGCACCAAGAGATTGAGGTCCTTAGCCACCAGCGTGCCGGTGACCGGGTGCATGGTCGCCCGCGCCGCCTGGAACGCCGCGATGGCTCTCCCACGGGCGGCGTCGTACGCAAACAGGTCCCTGGCAACACGGAGCCACAGCAGCACACACACACATAGAGTTAAATACAAGCGCACAGACAAAGATCCCCCCCGTATAGCATCAATACGAAATGGCTTATCATGTGGACATGTATAGCAGCCAAATACTCTAAACGCATGTTGATTCTAAATCTAGGGGGGAAAACTGGAGGACCCGGAGAAAAATCCATGTGACCACGGGGAGAACATGGAAACTCCAAATATACAGCAGGCGCCAGGGTCGGGATCGAACCGACGACCTCCTGCACACCAGGCGAGGGAGTTAACATCTTACCATCGGGGCCCCCCCTCTTACTGCCAACGCCACGCAAACCGGCTGGGCACCGCGCTCATCCTTCTGGGATACAGCGGGTCCCAAGGTAAAGGTGCAGCCAGAGGGAGGTCTGGAGACCCCTCTCGGGGGTATTTGATCTGCTCTTCCACGCTGGCCAGACGCCTTGGAAGAGGGGGCAGCGCCCACGTGTTACCCCACCGCCACACGCTAAATGTGGTGCACGCATTCATACTCCTGGGTGGACAGAGAGGCGCGGAGGTTAACCTTGCAATATTGCTTCAACTGCTGCACAGCAGCCCTACGGAGTCACCTGGAAATTGCAACGATAGGGGTTACTGCCTCCGCTGAACGAGTTTTGGGTCTAAAAATACCCACTAGCATGTGCCAGCACCCGAGACGTAATCTCAAATGCCGTTAACAACATTCTGTAATTTTACGTAAGCGGGCAGCGGGATGTAAATATGTGCCTACGTGCGCTGTCGGTGGAGGCGTTAGTGACTCTCGGACACGTTGGCCTTGGTATGCATCTCATACCTTTTTCGTGGGCCCCTTGACAAGTCTTGACCGGCATTCAAAAATGGCAATGAGGCACGGGTGGACAAAGTGCAGAGTGCAAAGCTGGCGCGAGCCGAGGCTATGGACACGGTCCAGCGGGAAGCGCGTGCGGCGCAGAGGTTCGTGGTTCGAACCCGGCGGTTATTACCTACGATAAGCACGGTTGGCTACGTACGGTGCGCAAAAGAAGTTCAACAGACACATGTACAGACATTACCGTGGGTGGATTAACCGCGAAATACGCGCCGTCAGCTTCACAGTGGACGTCGAAGATCCCCGGCCGTTAATTCGAAATGAGAGGGGTCCTTTGTGCACCAGCGTTGTGGCTCCAAAGTTGCCAAATTCGAAACGTTACCCCGCAAATAACTCAATTGGGATCACGCACAAAGCAATCGTCGCCTGCTACTGCCAGACCGATGGGCCCTCCGAAGGCCAGGCGCTGAAGCACTTTGTGTCAACACAGGAGACAGCTGCCGCCGGGGGTGCCCTTTCAAATGCGTTGAGATGCCGATGATGCAACTCGCTCATCGCGCGCGGAGCGCTCCGAGACGCTCCGGAGTAAAGGAGGGCAGTCGCTATGATAAATAAATCGCTATCATTCAAGGCGGGCTGCATGGCAAGACAACCGAAGTTTTAGCTTTCAATCCAAATACTGGTCACCTCGACATCGTACGAGCCGCGTGCCCTGTTTCCCAGGACCGATTTAACGAGATTTTAAGCCACACACACAAAGCAAAATGCTCAATTAAAAGTTCAGTTGCACTGTGCTGCCCACGTGACGTTCATGCCACTGTCATATAATCCCATCGCCGCTCTCTCCGCGTGCATGACGAGGGGCAAGATGAGGAGGCGGGCGCACTGTGTGCAGGAAAGTGAATGGATGTGGTGGAAATAAATAAGCGGGATCAGAAACTTTGTTCGGCAATCTGTTTAAAACAACAGCTACATTTAATGAGTAAGTGCATGGGGGCCTTCCCAGCCATTGCTAATGAAACAAGACAACACTGAACTGGTTTAAACTTCACTGAGAAGCATCAGAAAAGTGGGCCGTTCTATTATCCGCCGGCGCCGGATAATCGATGATCTACTGCATTTTGAGCTTCTTTCGCACCATACGTAGCCAGCCGTGCTAACCGGAGGTGCCCCTCACATTGTGTGTGGCTCTTCCTGCCCACAACACCTGGGTACCCCACTGCCTTCGGGAATTCAAGGCCATGTCCTATTTGTGTCACTTTGTGAAACTAAAGCTGGTGAAAAGAAATGCTTCTGAAAAATAATCAATCCAGAATAATCATAGGTCCATGAGTTAAAATGTTGTTTGCTATCAGCGATTAAATTACTTACCTGCTCGTTAATTGCTATGGGTTTGTAAAAGTGGGCCTTAGGTCGTGAGCAGTCTGGCTCTGGGTTGCCATAGTTCTACTGCTCAACACAGCCAACTGGGTTCACAATGGTCGACTTGTAAAGCAGACGTACTCTGGTTTCCGGCCACGTGCAAAACATATTCATAGAATTGGACACAAATCAATCCCCAAGCCCCCCCCCCCGCCACGTGGCAAGACCATGCTGAAAAAGTCTTGCAACTCAGTTAGGATTTCGCCATGGGTAAATAAGGGGGGGATCTCGCTACCGCACATCTTCGCGGTTGAGCTGCGTCAGCTCTCCGATGCGTCTTCAGGTCGTACAGCAGGCGCTGTCCGGCACGACGTCCGGTGACGTTTCGTTAAACGCGCTGCTGGGAGCCTCTCTCAGCCTCATGCGCTTCTCGAAGAAGCTCGCAACACGTAGATTTAAACGTCATCGGACGTTGTACAGGACAACCGGAAAACACACCGGAGAGCAATCCTAAGATAATTATTATAATGAGGCATAAGAAGCGATTGCAGGGTGGGACCAGTGTGCTGTGACTCCACTGTGGCTCTTGTATGCATGTATGTTGAACTTCTTTCTGATCGTACGTAGCCAACGGTGCTAATCGGAGGTGCGGAGGAAGGAGGAAAAACTAAACACAAAAAAAAAATACGTTTTCAATCTAGAGGATTTACAAGTGGATAACTCCAGTGGCATTCCAGACGGCCGCAGAAGCGCATCTGAAAGCACGCGATGCGGTGGCCATCTTTGTTCTATGGCTCGCCAAAAACCGCTGCTGTGAGGATGAGCGGAGTTCGCGTGGTGATGGTTTATGCTCCTTGACTCGCTTTAGGAAGTTTGCGAGTTCAAATCCTGGATGGGAGAGGGTCGCCTCGGCCCACTATTCCTCCAGAACCAATTAAATAAGTACCACTTTGTGGGAAACCAATGATTTAGCATGCCATCATCAAAATCAGCGGCATCTCTCCGGAGTCAATGCAGTGATTACCACCTGGGTCAGCTGGATCACTTGGCACAGAGAAGACCTATGGTGTTTGTCCCATGCAGAGAAACTGCTCCCTGTCATAAGCGTGTGGCATTTCTACCACTGGCTCTGGGCCACCGATCAAGATAACCAGAGCCCCGTGATTCTTTGAGCAGGTAGATGAGTTTAGTTTGACTTTGTCTATGCATATTTAAACCATTTATATTTGCAGAACGTCCCTTGGTCATGGAAACATAGGTGAGAAGCACCCATTAACAGAAGCCATCTTCTAGAAAGGAGGGAGGCAGGCTGGGAGACACGGATGGAGGGTGGCAGGGAGGGTGAGAGGCGGGGTGGCAGGGAGGGGGTTAAGGGAGGGAAGCAGGGAGGGAGTGTGTCATGTGGGTGTTGGGGCAAGTGGGGTGGAGGTGAGGGTGGCACCTGAACAGAGGGCGAGTGAACTTCATGCGGCCCTGCTCGGTCGCCATCCGTAGTGCCAGCGGGATGGCCTCCTCCCAGCGTGCGCGAAGGCCCAGGCGGAGCCACCTGTGACACCCCCACACCTCCAATTAGCACGGCTGGATATGGGCGCGGCGAAAAGTAGTTCAACACATATACGTACATACAGCACGCCGCCCACTCTCACCATCTCAGTGGCCGCGATTAACACAGCTCCAGAGCGGTGCATCCTAATGCCCACTGTAATCCCCCAGGAATGTCTGTCCTTAACGTTCGTGACGTCACTCCACATCGACCAGCCCCCCTCATTAATATTCATGAGCAGGTGACGTCCTCCAAATGGACACCCCCCCATTCATAATAATTAGCGGCTGACGTCACCCTACATGGGGGGCCGAGGCGCCTCCTCCCCTCTCCTCGGCGTCAACTTACAACCCTCACTACAAAGGCAGAAGCCTCACGTCACGCGATCTCCGTAATGCTGTTGAGACATCAAAGTAAAAAGGACGTCATGATGAACAAGGGATTACAACCTTTACATGAAATAGGTCTGTGTCACCGCGCCCTTACAAATTGCACACGCATTGATGCTATGAATATATCACGTCGCGGTCTGCTGTCCGCTTGCAAGTTTGAGATTTACTGCAATACACCCGTCCTTAGACGGGCAATAGTCGAGTAGTACTTACTGATGGTGATAATGATGACACTGATAATGATAACAAGAAGAGATGTCATGTGTATACATACTCTGGCAGCCAAGTTTAGAATGCTATACCATAGTGGTCTACATTCAGTAGATATCTACGAATCCATCCTGGATTCAATGTTGTGCAAGTCAGGTGTGCCGTAGTGGATGCAAGTGCATTTGTTCAAACAGATGTGGATTTGATGGTAGAATTGGGTGTCCCGTAGAAATCCGAAGCGCTTCATAACCAAATCACGTCGGTCACACGAGCCGTCGCGGTGTGGCGCAAAGCTGTTTTGATGAGCCCCCGCTCCGCGCCCCCCCCCCCTCCTGTTGCGTTTAAGCAGTCGTGATTTTTCAGAGGTGGCCACGTGGAGGCCCCGGGGACTAAGGTCGTTGTGTCAGAGCACCGAACCTGCACCGCTTAGATCCGGGGTCGGGGCAACCGAAATAACAAGAGGCATTTTTTCGTTAGAGAAAAACAACTCGGTGTTTCAAGCGCCGCAGCGCACGTGATGATTATAAAACGGTGGGTCCTTAATGAACGACGTCACGAAGAGATCCGGAGCCACAGGTTGCTTAGATCCTGCTTTTGAATCTGAGACAACGAAGTCGGATTAAACCGCACCTCAGCTCGCGGACTCGGTGAACAGTGGCATCACCACCAGCACCACCACCACCACCCACACCCCCTTGAGCCACTCAGGCCCGCCTATGTGTTGCCTCGATGTTCTTGTGCACTCGCGTTTTAACTGGTCGACTTAAGTGTGCAGCGGGCCGTGAGATTTTTATTATCAGCAAAACACATTTGTTGGGAGGAAAAAACTGCTTTTTTTATTTTTGCAATGGCAATAAAAATAGCACATTGACTGTAATGCCACTTCTAACCCAAAGGCTGAAATTCAGCCAACTGTGCAGTTTGGAGCGGCGAGGCCATTGAGGCTACATCATGTTTACGGCCTCTGTAACAACGACAGCTTTGGGGCACCGCCACACATAAAACACACACGGGATTGTGTGCTACACAGTTTTTAATTAAAACTCAATTTGCCAAGCTTGCTTGATGCTTACTTGGATGTGCCATGAAGAAGGGCTATTGCCTGAAACGTAACCAATGACCTTTTCTGGAAAAAAATACGTATGTTTAAAACACCAAAAAGACATCTATTACAAGGCATCATTACATACTATTAAATACTTGTGGTAAAAAGTGCAAGCGAATATTGTTTAGATAATGTGAGCATTGTGCTGTTTGCCTTTTGGCGTTCTCTGGTCCATAGCACCAGTGAGACAAGGCCGCAAAGGAGGCTATTCTTGTGCTATGGTGTAGGGCAATCAATTTCAAAGCATATTATCAAAGCATGTTTGTTCATACATTTTACCACAAGCACATGTGTGGTTAATCCATACTTAAATGCATTGTAATAGGTGACTATTTGGTGTTTTAACATCGTAACGCCTCCTGTAGTCTTGCCAGAAAGGATTCATCCTTTTCTTTATATCATTTCAATACCGTCAAAAAGGTCCCGAAGTTACAATGGAGATAAAGTAGGCCAAAATTAAAAGCATTAAGAAAGGCTGCTCAAAAAACAAGTCTTTAAACTGAGACTTTTGCGACACACGCTTGCGTGTTTGCGCGTCTGTGTGCTGCATTAATGGGCACACAGTTGTTTTTCCCTCCCGTGGTTGGCCGCGTATAAGATTACGCGGAGGAAGATGTTGCGAATTAATGCGGCCATTCAGAGAAACTCGATCGGCGCAGGACCACCGCGCTTCACGTTCTATTTTCACTGCGCAGCGCCAGCGCCCAAAACACAAGTTATTAAAACCGCCAATGACACTGGAAGCTGACGTTGGGACATCGAGGATGGGCAATGAAGACGGAAGTGAAATTTACAAACACGCGTAACGAAAAAAAACCTCACAACGCTCTCCCATGGCCATCGTTAGAGACATTGAAAGGCGCTTATTCACGGTGTCGGAAAGAGGCTTTGTAAGGTCAAACATTCAGACTCTTCAGCTTCTGGCACCTAAAACCAGGGCTCGCTCCCACGGCACAGAGGAACGTGACTCCTGATCCTCGTGAATCTTGTGTCCAGCGTCGGTTTGGACACCGCAGTATACACCGCGGGGTGAAAACCCTCCGTGGCTACGGGGCGATACACACCTGAATCTGATCTCCGAGTTCTTGACGGAGTTCAGCTTGTACACCTCCTCCATTCGCTGCAAGCTCTTAACGGGCAGCGCGGGCTGGGGAAGAGGGCGGAGGCGGAGATTGCGGGTCAAGGAGAGGGATGCTCACCATGGAATCAAGCGTTGCCGTTTGCCCGAGCGCGTCACAATGCCCTCCCAAATCCATCAAAACAGGTCAATGTAACGCACGCTCAAAAGAAAGTTGCACCCTGCAGGTCTCGCCACAGTTAACCTTGCTGTGGTGGGGGGGGGGGGGGGGGTGCAGGGTTCAGGGTGTGCTGGAAATAGGCAGGATATAACCGGTGGCATTGGCAGCCACCCATTGACGTTGTGTCGCCATTCGAGTGGCATTTTGTCACCGTGTTTTATTGCAGCGTTTCACGACGTTCAGTGAAAGTTCACCATGCACAGGTTTAACTTTAGGGGGAAGCGAAGGACAATGTTTGCCTAATGGAAATACCCCGACGTCGCACGACATTCACACGCACACCGAAGGCGCTCCCACATTTGAATGACCGTGCAACGTGCACTCTGGAAGGATATTGTGAAACTGTGCAAAACGCAAGGATGGAACGATGAGGATAAAGAAGAAGATGACAGAGGAGATGATAAGAAAATGTGGCAGGTGCATCCATTGTTTTAGCAGCCAAGAATAAAATGCCATACCATAGAGGTGCCTCTCTCGTAAATATTAACGTACGCGTTGTGCGTGTGGCCAGTACTGAACGTAGCAAGGTGAACTTCAAAATGATTTTTCGCAAATCCCGATCAAAAACAAATACGAGCGCTCGACAGTCGAACTGGTGTCGCAACTGAAATCCCGAGTCTTACCAAACAAAGCTTTGACGAAGCACTTCGTGCAACGGTCGGTGAAAATAAACCAAACAACTTGGACTGCCCCGTGCCACGCAACCACGACCAGACGCCAGGCCGCCGGCACGTGCAGTGTTGCCGAGCCAGCGAACGCCTGGCAAACATACGATATCCGCGCGCACAATTGTGCTTAATAAACGGTGCACGTTTTAATCTTCTCACATTTCTGCGGGGCACCCCGCAGACGCATCTGCACGCGCGTGGCGTCGCACGTGTGCATTAACATTCCCTGTTCCCCGGCGACTGACGCTTTTGGCAGAGTGCCCTTCCCGCCCACGTCCTTCTCTGAACTCTCTCCGGTTTCAAAGTTCTGCCTTGTGAACTGGGTCAATGGCTGCTCTGTTGTTTTTTTTGTTTACCCTGCGTCTAGAGTTGAAGAAGAAAAAAGTCACTTTTTAGTTGCTTTTTATTTTACTCCAAGGGCACTTTCCACAGGGTCACTAATAAACAAGAGGTCACTTTTTTTGCGCAGCACGGTCGGTATATTGACACAAGCAGGCTCGTGTTGTGCCAGGCCGCCACAACTGCAGCAAAAACATGTTTTCAAAGCTCGCCGGCTTGCCGTAAACAATCGGCGTGTGCAAACTCTGAGCAGATACACATTTCCATAAACGAGTTTCCATAAACAAACGGGGCCTGGCTTCACAGTTTCTCGTGTCCCAATTCCTAGGCACCGTCACTGGCCGCAAATCGCGCTGCAAGTGGCCGGCTTGCCGAGCTGATCGTCGGCTTGCTCAACACTGACAAGATCCGCCGTGTAGGCTCAACAGGCTGTTGGGGCAAGCGCTGTTAGCGAGCAGCACCTATGAAGGCCTGTCAACGGCACACGAAGGGGTGGGTGGCCAGCACCACGCCCGGCCGCCTTTGTCTCCCCAGTGCTGATGATTACACATTGCACCAGGTACGCATTTAAGACTGTGTTAACCGAGGGGAGGCCCAGGAACCGGTTCAAACATTCACTTTTATTGGTCACGAGCGGGAATGGATCTCAGGGAGAGAGTGAGCAGCACAATGCAGCGTGAGCTACTGCGCTACAGCTCAAGTGCCGGGAAGCTTCTTCTGGAACTGAATTGAGCCTGTCACGATTCTCACTCGATTATATGGGCGCCGCAGTGGCGAGACGTTACGTCCCTCACCTGGTATGCAGGAGGTCATGGGTTCGATCCCGACCCCGACCCTGACGCATGTATATTTGGAGTTTACATCATCTCACCGTGGTCACGGGGAGTTTGCCCCCGGGTCCTCCAGTTTTTCCATCCCCACGTAGAATCAACGTGCATTTGGAGTATTGGCTGCTATAAATTAACACGTGAGAAGCCACTTTGTTGAACCGTCATTTGTGGCCAGGTCGCTTCTGAAAAAGAACTGTAGAGCTCAGTGGGCCTTACCTGGCAAAATAAAAAAAGTGCATTGCTACTGAAGCAACAATTCCAACTCCAGAGCCTGCCTGCCAATTTCTGTGGGTGCTCGACAAAGTGGCGAGTCTGCGATAAAAAAATGAAGGAATAAAAACCCAGTGGTGCTCGCTGACGAGAGTAAGGTTTGCCGTGTGGCACCGTCGACTTCGGTGAGGAGAACTGGTCCCAGCGGCAGCCCCATTGACCGCTGGGGACGTTAGAGCAGGGGGCGCCCTTCACCCAGTGTGCAAACGGGTAAGATAACGAAGCCAGGCTAGCAGGAGGATTAGCCGGTGTTGCAGCCGCACCGTGGAGAAGGCTGGTGCGCACGGCGCGGCCTCCACTCAACAAACAGCGCTCGGCGTTCTCACAGCAGGCTCCCTGCCTTGTAGGGCGTGCTGCGCTGGACAGATAACCGCAATGCGACGAGTGCACTGCGGAAACTAATTTGGACGAGGGGAAATAAAAGTCAGCGTCACCGTTGTGAACTATTTATTCGGCGATGCTGCGTTGGTGGTGGCGCACAGTGAACGAAAATAAATCTCAACACGTGTGTCGATAAGAAATACAAAAAAAATTAATGTGTGCTGTGAAGATGGGGCATTGCCTGAAATGTTGGAGAGTATGTAGTGGTCCCTCGGTTAATGATATTAATTGGTTATACAAAAACTATCGTAAATTGAAATAATCGTTAATCGAATACAGGAAACACACGTTGAATTATTAATTTGTCCCAAGACGATCCGAAGTTGACCTTTTTCACGCTAAAAACATAGTTTAAAATATTTAAACACGCAATTTTAATAAATAAACATTATACCAACATATTAAAGCATTCATATTAATAAAACCATGGATAAATAATGAATAGAGCATAAATGTGCATAATAACAGCATAAAATGAAAAATTCTTACCTTTGGCAATGCACATCAAACATTAAAAAGCTAGTCAGTTGATCTCAAAACGCAAAAAAAAAGGCATCGCTGATTGGCCGAGGCCTGCCGAGTCCACTTAGGAGCGCTCCGATTGGCCGAAATTGGTGGCCTCGTGATATCATAAACATATCGTTAATCGAAAATGTATCGTTAATAGAAACAATCAGACCCTGATGGGAAGCGGATCGTAAATCAAAATGTCGTCAATCGATGGCATCGTAAACTGAGGGACCACTCTATTAGTTTTTCTTTTAAGGCAGTGTTGTTGATGAGTGTGAGAGTTTTTTGAAGGCCCTGAAACAGTGGTGGAAATTCCACATTGCTGTGTTATTATGTCAAGTCTCCCATTAGCATAATCATTGAATTTTCCACAAAGCGTCTATGTATGTTGAACCTCTTTCACACCATACGGAGCCAACCATGCTAATCAGAGGCACTGAGGAAAGAAAACGTTACATATTCCCCGACGGAATTTTTACTTGTAACCGGGCAACTGTGAGCGGATTGCTCTTCTCTATTTGCTACTTGTGTAAATTTGTGAAAAGAGCTTCATAGCTCATCAGATTCCTCCAGGAGAAATAAATATTCTCAAATTGTCATAACCGACGATGAATTCCCGAGTGTAGTGACAATGATTGTGTTTTGCGGTGCACCGTGATGCAAGTGTTACCTGCAGTAAAAGAAGTGCCAGGAATTCTACTTTCTGATTGGAGGAGAAGTCCTTCAAGTCGTCAGCATTGAAAGAGGCCAGATCCGCATCTTTTGTCTAAAAAGCCACAAGAACACACGCACACACGAAATAGTCAGTGTCCCCGCATTCAATTGAATAAAGGGCCAACATATATCCTTGCGTGTTTTTCGGTTGGACGTACACAGAGTTATACGGATAGTTGCACGTACACGTAACGCATATTCAAAGGCTCTCTATTTCGCCAAAGTAACAGCGAAACCGGAAAGACGTCCGAAACATGGATTGGAGAAACGAGGGCGTGAATGAAATTGGAGGAGGCTTTCGGCATCCTCGGATTGGCTGATGAAGCAGTCACTGCAAGACCAACGGGAGAGTGAACTAGCGGTCATGTTAGCTGGACTTAGTAAAAAAATTAACCCGTAAAAACAAAGTTTTTTACTCTCAAATCTTTATATGCGTGGCGGCTAGAGTCCTCTCGTCCTCTGGCTTGAGATGGCTGCCACCTATGAGTCAGATGATTGTCTGCCAGCATTAAGCAATTGGTAATTAAATATTTTTAAAAAATTACCTAAACAGTGTAAAATTTTGGAAAAAAGATTTCACGAAAATTAATTGTCACGCACAACGAGTCTGTGTGGAAAATGTCAGCTCGATTGGATCACGGGAAGTGGGTTAAAAAACGACCGAAAGATTTGCACGGTCGTAAGCAAGCAAGCATGCACGCAAGCACGCAAGCAAGCAAGCAAGCGAACTTAATATAAAGGATTTAAAAAGGTTGCAAGTTGGACTCGAGACCAACTTGGGTAAAACACGCACGGCAAGTTTGCTCACAAAGGCACCAGAATTCATGATCATCACACGTGTTAAACAATGCTTTTGGTAAACACAATTATACAACTGATGATATGTGCAAACTGAGCCTTGGATAAACACCATTACCAACCAGCAACCAGGCATGCCTAATACAAAAACGGATCATTTGTACATGTTTGAATGATTGCTGAATTTCAAGTAAACCTTTGCTTAAGTTTATGAAAAGGCGAGAAAGGGAATGTGTCGTTACCTGGCTCCACCGTGCCGCCAGCGCAGAGCAAGCATCTGCAAGGGTGGTGTCGTATCTGGAAAAAAAAAGCAACCTCATTATCATCATCTATCATCTGCTATTCGCAACGCAGATCCGGGACAGATGTATTTGTATGTTTTTGACAAATTATATGGTGATTACATTAAAAAAAACAATATAAAGAGTTTTAAACTACTCTAAGTTTCCCTGCTCAAACAAATGTTGGCGGTGTTCGTCTGCATGGCCGAGCTAAGCTAGGAGTGGAAATTCCACATTCCTAGGACAATTCAATGAGCCCGCAGGGCTGTTGGGTTTATCACAATTTTGAACTTTCAGCCTTCCAATGCCGAGTCTAGCGATGTAACCAGTGCCATCAAATAACAACAAAGTGTCTGATGGGACACCTCAGATTTACAGCAAAAACCTGGAAGACTAATTGAAGATAGCCCTGCTGTAAAGGTAGTTTAGCTGATATATGAAATGGATTTAGATATTAAAGAAATACAGATAAGTTTGATACGTAGGCTTTCGCGACCAATATTATTCATGATAAAGGTTTTTGGGTTAATCGTGTCAGTTTAGATGTGTCATAACCCTCCACCACCCCGACACAGCCAGTAAGGTTCGTCACGTAAACAACGCGCCTATTGGTTACTGCTTCAGCCCATCGGTGTGTGGGGAGAGTAAATCCACAACATGCAGAGAAATCCACAGACAGGAAGAAAGTTTCCCTAATACAAGATAGCCATGATTCTGGAAGGAATCTATGAACAATGTGAGATGCTTGGCCATCGTGGGAGATTTGTTTGAGAAGGCTGGGTGTGGCTCAGGAGGGATAATGCTCTCTCAGGTCACCAAGTTAGAGATGCAAGTTTCCTCCTCTCAATGCATTATCACGGTGCGCGAAAAGTGTTCCCTCATAGAAGAAACGTGTTATATCGAAAACACGTTATAGCGTTAAGCCGATGATTATATCGATTCAAGAAGCTCGTCAGCTTTCACCGACTATCATCGCACCAGTTCCCTGTTGCTGGCCACGTTGCACTGTTTGTAGGCCCTCTATCGTGGTACTCAACACACGCTCACAGAAGGTTCAAAATAATATTTCTGGTTGGCATTTGACTCAGCGCATCAACCCTCATCACCATCCTAAGCAGAGATTGGCCTCTGCCATAAGAATGGGGAATTTCCACAATTGCATCTGAGCAGCCAATGTGGACGTGTGCTGCCTAACACACTTTTGAGATAGAGAATAAACTATTCTCTTTTTTAAACCTCTTGATTAGCAACTGAGATCCACAGAGCTCAGCACCCACAAAAAACACAAATGAGCTCTTACAGACAGCAGATTCATTAATCCTGAGCAACAAACACCACATATTGCAGCAGCAGAATTTGACCTCAGGACTTCCCGTGGCTCATCCAAAGACGAACTGGGTTCAGTTCTGTTTGCCTGCCAAGAGCTGATGAAATCAGAGATGGCATGGCCCCACAGCTCTCCACGGGAGATGGTGCAATACACCGGCCCCATTACACCGGCGGGCAGCCGAGCCCTAACCAAGCATCTGACCAGAGGACCCTACGAATTGTTTTGCGTTGGTCAGGAAAATACTCGCCCGCACTACCGAAGCAAGATCTGCCAACTTTGAAGTGGAATGGGAAAAATAAAATACATAATGTATGAATTTGGCCTTCGCACCCAATTGGCTCACAAGTGACGACATCACATTTATCCCCCTCTATTTAAGACCGAAACAGGAGGATTTCTCCACAACTCTGGCTGTCGCCTGACGATGCTGGTTGTAATTCCCGTAGAAACGCCACGGTACTCAAATTGTAAACGTTGTGGGTTTACTCTCCAACACACGAGGTGTGATGTACTTGTACTCCTAACCAATTAGCATGTTTTGTTTACGTGACAAACCTTACTAATTGGCTGTGCCGGGTGGTGGCGGGTTTAACGACGCATTTCTACTTACGCTATCTAACCCAAAAAACCTCTGTTATGGATAATATTGGTCGCGACAGTCCTACTACGTGCAAAACGGAACAATAAAATTCGAAAGCCTTTGATTGAATATGAAGGTGAGGGCCAAATGGAATGTCGTGGGTGATGTATGCCACCAAGCGGAAAGTAAAAAAAACGCATTTCTGCACAGTCATCTCGGGTAAACATGTGAATTTAATCTGCACCGATAAGAAGAAAAAAAAACAAAGGTCAACGCATTTTTCCCTCTTATCAGTCGCTAAATATTTAATTATTTACTTATTCGTTTGGGCTGGGCTCAAATGTATCGATTTTTTTCCGGCCATCCTTTATTAAAGCAGAAGAGAGGACACCCAGGATGATGATGATTTCTATTGCATGACAGAGCTGTATTAACCCACGGCTCAGCAGAACCACAGAGCGCTCTCGTGTGTGGGCTCTGCCGCATATTGTTCAGTATTGTGCCACCCATATAGTTCCTGAAGAAGCTCCAGGTAGGCACAGCGAAACGTCGGACATCGTGCCGAACAACACAAGGCCCGACCGCTGAAAACCTACTCACTGTCGTCTACATTACTGGCATTCGGACAGGCACACTCGTCATTTAAATGTCGGACATCGTGCCGGACAGGCACACTGGCCATTAGAAACGTCGGACACCGTGCCAAAACGACACACGGCACGAGTGCTGAAAACCTACTCACTGTCGTCTACGTGATTGGCACTCGGACAGGCAGACTGGCCATTATGTCGGACCATCGTGCCGAACAACATAGGTCATGACCTCTGGAAACCGACTCATTATTATCTACGTTACTGGCATTCGGACAGGCATGCTCGTCATTTGAAACGTCGGACCATTGTGCCGAACAACACAGGGCACGACCGCTAGAAACCCGTGATCATGTTGCCAAGATAAAATCCCGATCGGGAGCCAACTCGGCACCCACCATCTTTCTTGCTGATGCTAAAACACGAGAATTAGTTTAACACGTAGTAGGCTTTCGCGACCAATATCATCCATAATATATATTCTTTGGGTTAGATCGCGGAAATATAAATGCGTCGTTAAACCCGCCATCATCCAACACAGCGAATTAGTAAAGTTTGTCACGTAAACAGAACGTGCCAATTCGTTACTAGTACAGCACATCAGTGTGTTGGAGAGCAAATCCACATTTACAATCCGAGTACGACGTTTCGCCAATAATTACAACCGGCTCTGTCATGGTGACGGCTTTGATGACGAGGAGTAGATTGGAGCAAAATCAAACGGCGTTGCGAGCTTTGGATTTGTGGCCGTGCATGACCTCCATGGCCGGAAGCGAGGCCACAAAGGAGACAAGCAACATCCCGTGAACACAGCACGGTCGGCTCTGTGACTAAGAACAGGCTCATCGGGAAGGCATGTTGGTCATCGAATGATGTCGTTTCATTTAAACGATTGATAAAATAAAAAGCCCTTAATCCCCTTTTTAGTTTGCGTTACCAAAATATTCACTGGTTCAGGATGCCGTAACGTCAAGTACAGCGTCGTCTGGGATGATAAGAAGCTTGGGGAATGAGACGCAACTGAAACGTGTGCACGGTGTCAATAAAGTGACACAGATCTGGTCACACACACGCACACTTATACCAGATCAAAAAGCTCCCCCCGCCCCCAACTCCTGCTTTAATTTGCAGTGGGAAAAGATGTGCCTTGCAATCCGGTGAATATGGCAATTGCTTTCACACATTTAAACTCTGGATTTGTGGTATTTAAATGGAACGCCATTACCTGCTCTTAGGAATTACGTCACGTGCTCTTTGGTGTCTACTTGAAGAGATTGGGAACTTTAAAACCACGATCGGTTTGCCAGAAGACAGGGGTGGAGCCTAGAGAAACAGGGGCGTGGTCTAAATAGGAGGGGGCGGGGTTTGAAGAAGATGGCACGGAGCCTCAAGAGAAAGGGGGCAGAGCCTTATTTATTTATTGATTTGACCAGGTGAGGCCCACTGAGCTATGTGGCTCTTTTTCAGAAGTGCCCTGGCCACCACAAATGATAGCTCAACGGGAGTGGCTCATTGGGTGGAAATGTACAGCAGCCAAACACTCTAAACGCGTAGTGACGTTGATTCTAAATGTGGAGGAAAAAAACGGAGGGCCCGGAGAAAAATCCACGTGGCCACGGGGAGAACACGCGGACTCCGAATATACAGCAGGCGTCAGGGTCGGGATCAAACCCACGACCTCCTGCATACCAGGCGAGGTAGTTAACATCTCGCCAGAGTGGCACCGCATCACGCAACAATGAGGCGGATGATAGGATAATGGTTAATACAATCATGTAACTGGCAGAGGCTTTTGATGGTAATTTGGAGGTATTTAACAGGCGAAGGTAGTTAACATCTTACCACCGCCGCGCCTAAATAAAACCTTGAACACAATTCCAACTTTAAACCTAACATTAGCCCTCAAGAGCTCATGGCTAAACTTTTCAACGTTGGACATTGGCCAAACCCGAGCGAGTGGCGAGCGTCAAAAGCTCAAAACCTCACAGCAAGTTTAAACTCGGGCAGCAATTTTTCCTCTTCTTCTCATTGCGACTGTGTTGCTATAGCTACGGAAAGGCCGGCAATCTCCTCGAGGCAAATGTCTTTGCTCGTCCGCAGCAATTATGGCAGCACCGAGAGGAAAAAAAACTAACAGCGTTGGGCGTGTTTTAGCGAAGACATTTCAACACCATACGTCCAAATTGCGCTTTGAATTGTGTTGACGTCGGTGACTATGTACATCTTTCACTGTCATGGGAATGATGATTTTGTTTTTCTAGCACTGGTTTTCGGTCGTAGAAATGGAAGGAAATTCGTTCAAATCCGTAGCCAGAGTTATCAGTAATCATCATCATCGTCGTCATCATGATCCATTGGGGGTCCCTAAAACGAGTGAGTACCACCTGGTGAGGTTGCATCACTTGGTGGAGAGTCAACAATGATCTGTCATTTGAATAGACTGGTCTCTGCCATATGAATGCGGAAAATACACCACTGGCTGAGGAGCACAACTGGAAATGTCAGCATGCTTTCCCACCTGATGACGGACGCTTGTGTTGCGCCCGAAACGTCGCGATTTATTTTATTTCATACCTACGTGACTTTACCGAAAGAACCAAAGAGTATGGAGACACTGTATATAAATGTATATTCATCATCGCCAGCTATCGTGTATCCGTTGCTGGAATGAAGGTTCCTCTATGTCATAAACTTTCTCTCACGGTCCTGCGATGACACAATCCATCTCACTTCCTGCTCCATCTCCACGATGGCCATCTCCTGGACACATTTATTCCGTTGGCTGTCATTCAACCACGCGTGTTGTCAAAATGGCCATTATCCATTCAAGCGATGTGTACTGCTAACACCCACGTACTTTTCTTAACGGTCATTAAGAAGTGATTTTTTTTTCTGAATACAGCTGCTCCTCTTCAAATGACTCAGTCTATTAATAATCAGGTCCCACTCATTACCCACAAAGTGCTTGCCAGAAATGAACCACAATACCTCGCTGATCTCGTCAAGGACCATAAATCATTGCGCGAACTTCGGTCATCCTGGAAGCGGCTTTTTACTAACCATTGAACAAAGACGGTCACCGCACGGCGCGCTTTCAGCTGCGCTTCCGCAGCTGTCTGGAACACTCTTCATCATCTACATTAAAAACGAATTTCTTTAGAACTGCTTTTTGTGCCTAGTTTGTTGTCCTTCCCTCACACCTCCGATTAGCACGGTGGGCTACGTACGGTGTGAAAGAAGTTCAACACATCCGTACATACAATTAAAGGCAACATATTAGCAGAAATTAGGATGCCGCGGTGGCAAGATGTTAACTAGCTCGCCTGGTATACAGGAGGTCGTGGGTTCCATCCCGATCCTGATGCCTGTATATTTGGATTGTTCTGCTCATGGTCGCATAGATTTTTCTCCGGGTCCTCCGATTTATTCTTCCACATTTAGAATCAACGTGCGTTTTTAGTATTTGGCTGCTATAAATTTCCACGTGATAAGCCACTTCGTTGGGCTATCATTTGTGGCCAGGTCGCATCTGAAAAAGAGCAATGTTACCAACCAAATGGCACATTGTTGTTGTTGTAGTTTAATGTTCTCAAGCGGGAGGGGGGGGGGCAGTGTAAACTCTCAAGGGTTTGGCTATGGAGACCGGCGACGCGTGGCGATGACACGCAGGAATGCCGCGCAGGCTTCACTCTCGGCGGCCTCTGTGGCGGGGGGCATCTCGGACGTGGGCGACGAACCCACACGCACGTCTGCCTCGAGAGAGAGCCCGGAGGCAGCTGTGGCCGCTGCGAGCAGCAGGCGCCCAAGAAAGTCGTCTGAGCTCGGCACGAATTCGCTCGCCAAAGTGGAGAGTTTTTTAATCCGCGCGCGGGCATGTGCTGGACGAGCACGCTGCCACGCGGGGATGACGTTAAGTCACCGAGGTTGCCATGCAACTGCAGGCAGAAGGGCCTCTCTGCTTGAGGAAGCCCTAGAGAGCCCCCATAGAGGGCACTTGGCCTACTCTTCCACGCTGCTCAGGCATCTTGGAAGGTGCGAGGAGAATAGCCACACTTTACCCCACTGCACACGGCCTGCCGACAAACTGCGGGTTGACCCATTTAGACTGTTGGATGGACAGAGGAGGGTGGATTTAGGAAACATTGCCCTTTGTTTTCACGGCTGCACTGGAAAATCAAACTGGCAAGTTCTGAGTTGGCTAGGTGTATGTACTTATTTCCCACCATACGAAGCCAACCGTGCTCATCGGAGGTGCGGGGGAAGAACATCACACGACAGCTTCATCCCTGATGTTCTAGCAGCAATGCCAGACGTTTGGCAGCAGGTATATCCAACATGCCAAATGTTAAAGTAACATCGTAAGTAATACAAAACACAATAGTGGTTGATGGTGAGTTGCATGGGACTGAAGATGCTGATCTCATCAAGGAACATAACGTATCACGTGAACTCCGGTCATCATCGCAGTGGCTTTTGGCTAACTATCGTCACTACTTTGCACGCTTCAGATGCGATTCTGCGGCCGTCTGGAATGTTCTTCCATCCGATATTAGGAAGTCACTGGAGCTATGCACTTTAAAATCAAGATTAAAAATTAATTTCTTAAGAACTGCTTTTTGTGTTTTGTTAGTTGTCCTTCCCCGGGATCTCAGCAGCAGTGACTTAGTGTTCCAAAAGAGGCAACGCATTATCAAGGCCACCTTAGCACAGCCATAAGCGCTTTGACAAACGTACTGGAGCTTCACAGGTGGCATTCCTGGAGAATAAATCCATGCCTTCCAATCCACAGCTTGGAGAACATCGGCCTGGGGACAGGGAGGAGACAAACACCAATGTTAATGACGCACAAAAAAGCAATGAATCTAAATCTGCCACACACAAGAGGGCTTCAGACGACCACAATACGACCACAATACACATCAGGGTGGCACTCTGGTTAGAGCTCTTCACTCACATTTGGAAGGTTGCGACTTCAAATCCCGGTTGATAAATTGTGTGCTGGTTTGGGGGAAGTCAGCAATGACTGCCCTCTGACGAAACAGTCATTGTCATGAAAACGTGGGCGTTTTCACCACGAGATCCGGTTTCTTCATGCATTTAAACAACTCAAAGCAACAAATAACTTCCCACTCCCAAGAGGACCCTCCAGAAAGTTATTTGAGACTGAGTGACACTTTCAAGCATGAAGTTATTATTTTTGTTTAATATTAGCCCTTCCACTATTCAGTGAATTGTCAAACAAAATCCAGGGCCATGATTCGATTTAAGAATTAATCATGTTAATGCTGGTATTCAAAGGATCTGTATTGGTTGCAGGGTTACTAGCAATCTTTACGGCTTCCATGAACCATTCACAGGCAGAATGATGTTGATAGCATTTAATTACCAGATGCAAATATCACTCATAAGAACTTTTTTGGGATAGAAAGCTTAAATATAAATGTGTCATTAAAACCGCCACCACCCGAAACAGCCAATTAGTAAGGTTTGTCACGTAAATATAACATGCCAATTAGTTACTAGTACAGCATGTTGGTGTGTTGGAGTCAACCCACAACGTTGACAATTCGATATCCGTGATGTTTTGCTGGTAATTACAACCAACATCAGCAGGGGACAGCCAGTTCGTTGCATAAAATGTAAGCGTGAGTGATGCATTTGTATCAATGGAAATGTCACACGCGTAGTGATTATCATCGCACCAAAGTTGACGGAGGGCAAAGCAGCCTCGCCTCGCCGACTGTTGAAAGACCCCGACCAGTCGACTGCCTACCTTGTCTTTGAAGTACTCGAAGAGGAACGCCTTCCACTGCTCCGTTGTGGCAGTGCTGTAAGCAAACTTTTCAATGTAAGCCTTCACAAAGCCAATGAAGACATCTGGAGAAGAAAATAAGACACAACACAGAAAATCCACAATTCATATTTCGGGGCAAATGTCCTTTGCTATTCATATATATGTATTCAAATTCGATGTATGGGGACATATCGTATGTTGATATTTTTAATTTTATATATATAAAATATTCTCCGCAATGACGCCCTTGATGGTCTTGTGAATGGGCAGAGCTTGTGGGGGGGGGGGGGGGGGGCACGGGGGGCAATGCCTAAAAAAACAAACCAGAAAATGATCAAGGAAGACACAAAGAACAACCCCAAAGAAATACCCAAGAATCTGCAGGCCACTCTCGCCTTGGCCAATGCGAGTCTTCATGACTCAACTATCAGAAAAATACTAAACAAGAATGGTGTTGATATAAGGATAGCGAGGAGAAAACCACTGCTCTCTAAAAAGAGGATTGGTTGCCCAACTGAAGTTTGCCATCTATGATACACAAGACTTCTGGAACAATGTTCTCTGGACAGACAAGTCAAAGGTAGCACTTTTTGGCATCAAATAGAAACGTTATGTTTGGCGAAAACCAAACGCTGCTTTAGAACAGAAGAACCTCATCGCAACCGTCAAGCATGGTGGTGGTGGGAATGTGATGGTTTGGGGCTGCTTTGCTGCCTCAGGACCTGGACAGCTTGCCATCATTGACACGACTATGAATTCTGCATCGTGTAGCGCAGCGGTCGGGAACCTATGGCTCGCGAGCCATATATGGCTCTTTTGGTGACGGCATATGGCTCCCAGAAAAATTTTGAGTTGAAAAAAATAAAATAAAAAATCAGTTTGGAACTGATTTTAAAATACTTGTGATATTGCTTAATAATACTGTGTCATTTTTAAGTAAACAGAAATTAGTTTTGAAGATAAATTTCACGGGTCACGGGGCCTCAACGCCTGCATGAAGCTCAACCTCACCACGTATGAACCAGACTACAAGGCCATCAGCAAAACCACGCGGCACCAGAAGTCGCATTAAAAGTAAGACATATTTAATTTATTATACGTTAAAAATACTATATGGCTCTCAATGCAATATATTTAGAAATATTTGGCTTTTATGGTTCTCCCAGTCAAAAAGGTTCCCGACCCCTGGTGTAGTGAGTCCACCAGCCAAAGTCCGGGGGGCCTCGCTGTACTTCATTATCCACGAGCTCACACCACAAATGTCCACCTCATTCCGATTCCCATCGAGAAGTGCCCTGATCACGCCACCTCTCTCGGTGACATCACCCCCCTCTCTTCTCTCTCCTTTCTCTCGTGATGTCACCCTCCCACCGGAACCTCGGATCGCGTAAATATTCTTACCCTCGGATCACGCAAGTATTCGTGCTACAAATGTATCAGAAGATTCTAAAAAATTATCTCAGGCCATACATCCGTGAGCTGAAGCTGAACCGAAAGTGGGTCTTGCAGCAGGACAATGATCGTAAACATGCAAGCAGATCTACAAAAGAATGGCTGCAGAAGAAGAAATTCCGCAGTTTACAATGGCCTAGTCAAAGTCCGAACATAAACCCTATGAAAATGTTGTGGCAGCGCCTGAAGCGAGCTATCCATGCAAGGCAACCCTCAAATGTCACAGAGTCGAAGGAGTTCTGTCAGGAGGCTGTCAGGAGGAAAGGCCAAAATTCCTCAAATCCGATGTGAGAGACTGACGAACGGTTACAGGAAACTCTTAGTTGCAGTCATTGCTGCTCAAGGGCGTGTCACCATTTACTGAATCTAAAGGATCACAAACTTTTTCACACGTGGTTATTGAATGTAGAATCATTTAAAGATAAATAAATGTTGAAAGAGTATCATGTTTTCGTTTAAATTGTTTAATTGAATTATCTTGATCTATTTTTGGGCTTAAATGAAGATCTAATAGCATTTTAGGTTTGAAATATGTAAAATATGTGAAAATCCTAAGGGGTTCACAAACTTTTTATCAGCCCTATACATACAACCAGGTGAGAGCCCATCGAAATGAAGTTTTATCAGCTCAGACGAAAGTGCAAGCATCTCCATGCTCAAAAAAAAAGTGGCAATGCTTATCTCAGTTGGTGGCCCTTAGTCTCAGTGGTGGAAATTTCACATTCCTATGTCGTGGCCAGTATATCCACGAGACATCCACTACTGGCTTCCCACAAAATAGCACTCATTTTACTGACCCTTCAAGGATGATTGGCTGAGTCAGACTTAGCCAGAATTTGAACTTAACCTTCCAATTGGGAGTTGAGTGTTCTTAGCAGAGTGCCATCCGGCTGGATAAGTGTAATGAAAACCAAAACTACATAGGAGCACAATAATTGTTACTGTAAAATTTCAATAGCTGATTATTTTTACAGTAACATGTTAAACAAATATCCCTAATTGCTGCGATCAACTCCGATTGTTCGAAAAAAAAATTACGTAGCCGGGACTGAGATCGTAAAACTGAATTACATTCACCATTAAAGTTAATACTGTGAAGTTATAATTACGGATTGCATTACCGAGAAACCATTCCAAACCTCCGAATCATGATAATAACATTTGCTTAAGCTGCAAAAACCTCAATGAATCTCAGAAACGTCCTACATTGGCTAGTTTGGTGAATTCCTTTAAAATGAATAGTGTTCATTTGGGGAGAGAGCCAAAGTAGATGGAGAAAAGCCGAATATTTAAGGGCAAAGCCATCTAAACATTTTCACAGATTGGGGTCATCAACCTACTTGGCGTACTGCCAACTCCTGAGTACCTCGTAGACCGGCAGTTTGGGAGTTTCAAGGCACGGAAAATGATGAACGCGTTCCGCAAACCCTGCGTCTGACGCAGCGCCGTGCAGTACACGTCGCATATACCCGACCGTCACATATCCGCCCCGACCAATAATAACCACCCTCACCCAGTTCCTGGAAAAAGAAAGGCACCTGCCACGTCCCCAATGGCGACACTGGAGAGAGGGACCAGCCTGAGGCAGGCCCAGCACTGCCACAGCTGCAACTCAAATATCCATTGACACAGACATTCATGAAGGACTCGTTTTAGAATATAAAAGTACTTATTTGGAAGACACTGCTTATTCCCCTGTGTTTTTTTTGTCATATATCCTCAATGGTTTTTTTTCGGAGTCGACTTATTCTCTCAATGCAAACCACGCAGTAAAGAACAGTTCCATATTATTATTTGTATCACCTATTTTCAAAGTATTTCCGCACGTTTAAGGGAATTTGCACGCTCACGTTGTCCAAGTCACCTGTCTGTGCTGGGTGTAAATGCCCTTCTCGACAGATGTTCACAAATCCGACCGTTTCACAACATCCGCCTCTACCTCAGTCCCGCGGAGTCGCGACATTGTGCTTTGGTAACTGTGAACTCGCATTACCATCCTAAAAACTAAACTATGAAACTATTTCTTATTTTACCAGGTAAGGCCCACTGAGCTGTACAGCTCTTTTATCAGCAGCGACTTGGCCACAAATGATAGCTCAACGAAGTGGCTTGACACGTGGACATTTATAGCAGCCAAATACTCTAAACTCATGTTGCTTCTAAACGTGGAGGAAAAAACTAGAGGACCTGGAGAAAAATCCACGCGACCACGGGAAGAACAAGCAAACTCCAAATAAACAGGCGTTGCTGCTGTTGTGATTGGGATCCCACTATCGGAACTGCTTGCATCCATGGGGCCGATGGCCACGGCAGCCCGCCGCACGCCCGCGGTCTTGTTATTCGTACGGTGATTGGCGTATCAGTCACGCGACAAACAAAACGGGACACAAACACTCATAGGGCCCAGAATAGAGCATCCTTTCAAAGTGCATTCGTGCTAAACACTCCCCAGACACGGGCACTTGGGCACAAATGAGACATGGCATAATGGCATTGCTTAGCAGTGGGATGTTGTCACACTCGACAGACAACTGCAATTCCTCCTCTACAGCACAGGGACACAGAGAAGTGGGGGTGCGGGGGGGTCACTTCAAGCATTCCCTGCAGTCTGTGGTACAGAAGGACTTATAGAGCTGAGTGGATTGGCCCTCGGCTAGTACGGAGCAATTTCACAGCAACAATCGCCGTTGTGGTGGGCAGGCTCGTGAACGACGCTGCTGAACAGCCGTCCTCCCCCCTCCCCACATCCTTGACAACGCAACCCAGAGGAGCGATGCTCACAACAACGAGCGGAGTGACGGGCGGCTAAATCAGAGCTAGGGGCGTAACGATTGGCTCCTTCTCGACAGTCGATAAACGGTCTCGATTTAGCGTTGCGAGAGTTCAAGAACAAATTGTGCCTGTTTAACAATGCGGAGAATGCAGCTGCCTCCTGTAGCATATTGCAAACAATGCATACGAAACGAAAAAACAATGATCATTACGCAAGCAATGTAATACGCGTGCTGCGAGCTTAAAAAAAAAATCAATATTATTCAAGGCAATGTTGCACACACATAGCCTGCAGAGTCGAGCACGCAGGTGGTGTATCTGCTCGTGACCTTGACACATTAATAACACCTGGGTCAATCATTTGGCAAGCAAGCCTCTACCCCTTACCGTAGCCTCAAAGTGCACCCAGCCTGGTACAAGCACCGAAGTGGCGGTGTTGTACCATGTTTATATACCTGCATGGTCAACGAACTCTGTCCCAGAGTTCTGATGATTGCGGGAGAGCAATGCTATCCCATCCCACAGAGTGAATTGGAATATTTGGAATCTTTTCCCAAATTTCATCTCAATTGTGCTTTTGGTGCCATATGATGATGAGAGGAAGAATCCATTGTCATCCGGTTCTCCAAGAAGTGAAACCCTTTGCGTGAGAGACAGACCCACAGAAGTGGATATCACAGAGCTACCACCGAGATCCCTTAAAGTGACATCGAATCCGCAAAGTACAGGGGGTGGGGGAAGCAGTCTCCCACCCACTCCGCCCATTGGAGGAAGGTTCGTCACGTGGCAGCTCAACGGACATTTACATTCTCCGAGTGGGAATTTTCGCCAAATAAAGTTAGCGACCGAACTTAACGTGATCGTCTCTTTGTGCACTCATCGGTGTCCGGACTGAGGCCACCAGCCCCCTACACTTGAGTACCAAGTTTAAACCACCGCTTTCCAACCAAGGTATCACCGGTAACCCGGATTTGAAGGCAGGATCTCAGCGGTGCCAGCTCAGCACTCGGACCGCTGAGCCACATGGCCTCCTCTACTGCATTGGGTTTTAAACGCTGGGGGAACAAAGGTGAGTCGGTTGAGCGGGTGGTGAGTCTGGTGAGAGAGTGGCGAGTCTGATGAGAGAGTGGTGTGTCTGATGAGCGGGTGGCGCGTATGATGAGCTGGTGGAGAGCATGGTCAGTATGCGGTGAGCACGGTGAGCGATTGGCGGCAAGTCCGGTGAGCGGGCGGTGAGTCTGGTGAGCTGTTGGCGAGTCTGGTGAGCAATCGGTGAGCACGGCGAGTGTGGTGAGCGATTGGCGGCGAGCGTGGTACCGGGCCCGCCGAGCGCTTGCTCCAGGTGGTAGAGCAGAGCGAAGCCCTTCTCGTAGGGCACGGTGGAGAAGGAGTCGTCCGGGTCGACGCCGTCCAGCACCGGCACGAGCTTGGTGAAGCCGTGCTCCGGCCCAAACGTGTCCACCTACGCACCCGGCACGGGCACATGGCAGTGTTGGAATCGTGTGGCGTTGTGGAGCGAGTTCAGCTGCACGCTGGGCTGAGTAGGGTTGGCTGACCTTGTGCAAAACCTCCAAATTATTCCGGGTTTTTTTCAAAGCAGTTGCCGAGAACAAGGCGCGAAGGCCCGAAACGTCAAACGGCCAGCAGTGTGAGGGGAGACGCAGCAAGAGAAGATGATGTGACCTGCAATGTGGTGGGTGAGTGGGTGAGAAGGTGGATGAGTGAGTGAGTGGGTGAGTGTGTTGCTGTGGCCCGCAGTGTGGTGGGTGAGTGGGTGAGAAGGTGGATGAGTGAGTGAGTGGGTGAGTGAGTGTGTTGCTGTGGCCTGCAGTGTGGTGGGTGAGTGGGTGAGAAGGTGGATGAGTGAGTGAGTGGGTGAGTGAGTGTGTTGCTGTGGCCTGCAGTGTGGTGGGTGAGTGGGTGAGAAGGTGGATGAGTGAGTGGGTGAGTGAGTGTGTTGCTGTGGCCTGCAGTGTGGTGGGTGAGTGGGTGAGAAGGTGGATGAGTGAGTGAGTGTGTTGCTGTGACCTACAGTGTGGTGGTTGAACACCGTGTGGATGAGAGTCAGCTGGTGCATTTCATGAGTCAAGTTAGCATGAACAGTAACCACGTAATAAATAAGTGAAAATGAGGCCAGGTACTAAGCGAGTGACTGGAGTGATAAGTGAGTGCTGAATCGTCCACCACTCTGACTGCTGCTCTACTCTGCATGCGAGCTGGTGTGGCAATGAGGTAGGAACTGGGTGCTCCATCGCAGATATCATAGCAGCAGGATTCAAAATTTTGGCAGCTGTGGATGCTGACGATGGGGACACCAAATCCTTGAGAGCGTGAGCGCTCCTCAAACTACGCCGACGGCAGTGGCTGGAACAGGGGACTTCCTGCATCTTCAATGCCTCTGCTGAGTAGCCAGTAAGAATGCATCTTTAGGTAGCAAAAAAAACCTTTAAACTCGTGGCACACGACGGGAAGAGACCAGGACGGAAGTCTCTAAGAGAGACAAAGAGGGCACGGCTCAAGATGAGCATCAAGAGGTAAGGAGGAGGAGCGCTGGGCAGGAAAGGGAAGAAGGGGAGAAGGAACAACAGGGCCAATATTTCGGGGACGCGAGGGTGGTGAGGATGAGAGGGGGAGAGACCAGGAAGGAGCGAGCAGGAGTGGGCGGTGGGGAGAGGAGAGGGGTTCAGAGTGGGGGTGGCCACACAGAAGTCACGTGACTTGCGGGAGGCTCGAGCTGATTTAGATGTGTAGATGTGAATAATGCAGGGAGTAGTGAGAAAACTAACACGAGATTGTTTTCGTAGAGTTTTTTTTTCCCACTTCATAATCCACTTTGGAAGAGAATAGATAAGAACATGAGTGTCCATAGATGGGTCTTTGTTATGCCTGTACTACTGGGTGGGAGATGCGAGCTCGCTTTAAACAAAGCAACGAGAAAATAACCATCTGTCCCTTTGAATGCAGGTGCAAGGATACAACGCACGGGAGAGTACGTCACCAGGCAGCACACGGAGTCATAACCCTGACCCTCACACCGGGCGACGGGGGAAATGCATACACAACCTCTCTTGCACAAGCGAGCTGCTACATGCATGCCGCTTGTTGAGTTACACAAAGGTCCCCCGTAAAGCCTTCAGCAGGCTGTTGGAGCAAGTTCTGTTTGCAAGCAGCTATTAAGGCCGGCAACGGCACACGAAGGGGTGGGAGGCCTACAACCGCCCCCAGCCATCTTTGTGTCCGCAGAGCTGACGATGACTGCACCAGTGGCTCATTTAAGATCGAGTCAACCTAGGGGACACCTCGGTCGGTTTCGGGTATTTGTGACCCATGTTGGGTCACTGGGTTTGTAGTGCAGTGTGCAAACCACTACACTACCACTCCAAACTGTGCAGTTACACAAAGACCCCCCCTATAGCCTAAATTGACTTTTGGGGAAAGTGCTGTTAGTGAGCACCTATGAAGGCCAGAATGGCACACGAAGGAGTGGGTGGCCAGGACCATGCCCGGCCGCCTTTGTCTCCCGAGTGGCGATGGTACTAGGTACTCATTTGAGGCTGAGTCGATCTAGGGGAGGCGCAGGACCGGTCCAGATAATCATCACCAGTATTGGTGGCCGTGACGGGGAATCGATCTCGGGTCGCCGGGTTCGTAGCGCAGCGCGCTAACCACTACACTAACCACTACACTAACCACTACACTAACCACTACACTAACCACTACACTAACCACTACACTAACCACTACACTAACCACTACACTAACCACTGCGCTAACCACTGCGCGATCACTCCCCCTCAGTTATACATACGCACACATCGCAAAGCGCATATGGCATTGCATAAGCATTCAAGCAATAGAAGGATATACAAATCAGCATGTGTGTATCTTTATGTACGTTGCATGAACTCATGTAAGCGAGTGATCCGCAGATGAACTATTTTATCATTCCATGGTGGATATTTCCACGCTGGGAACACATGTTGGGTGAGAGTGTAAGTGATGACGATGGGCGTTTGGAAGTGAAAAACTGCGTGTAATGGGTTCATGGCGTGGCCAGAGATGTTATTTTAAAACTCACGAACAAATCCAAATCATGAAAATGACCTTTCGTGCTACCCTCGCTGTATCAATAACAAGCGTGTGTGTGTGTGCGTGTGCGTGACACTGCTGCCCCGTCGTGGCCACACACTCAGCTGGCTTGCGCCGTGGTTAGAGGCACAGGCTGATCTCGAACCTTCCCGAGGGAGGAGGGGGGGGGGAGAGGTTGGGGGAGGCGTCCAAAATTGTATTCGTAAAAAATAAAAAGTTGGGTGGATCTTCTCTGGTAAATATCAATAAAACGCCAATATTCTGGGTCTCAAGGAAGGGGTGGGGGGCAATTTCCACCAATTTCCCTCCCCTGGATGCACCACTGGGTTAGAATGCATCTCTCGTTCGGCCAAGCACAGCCGGATTACATTGATAATGTTAATCGGAGCCTCCAATTGTAACCGAAGCGAATGGATTTCAATTGGTGTCTTGCCTGGTTCATCAAGAGGCAGGGCATAATAACTGGCTCAGACCACGCATGTAGCAGTGGGGGTGGGGAACAGGGGGGGGGGGGTCCTACCGACTCCTGGAGGGATTTCCAGCCCCCGATGGCGAAGAACTGCCTGGTCTTCTCTCCAAACATCTTGCCGGCGATCATGCGCTCCAAGTAGACCGTGTGTCCTTCATTGAGCCTACAGAGCGAGAGAGGCAACTACAATGGAGTGGTGCGTGTCTTAAGTGATGAATGGATATCATGTTTCATGTGACAACCAAATGGAAGCGTATGGTGTTTCATTTACTTGCCTTTTTCTTTATAGATTAATTTAATTGTACCCGGCAAAACAAGGGGCTAATTCTATTCCTTGGGTCTTTCGGTAAAACCACGTAGATAGAACAAATAATAAAAATAATAACAATATCACGTTTCGATCACAATACAAGCAATCGTCATCAGGTGACAAAATATAGCAGGAAAGCTGCTGGGGCAGGAAAAAATATATGGTGGGAGCGCTGCTAAGGGTGTAGCCCATGGGTCAGTGGGATGAAATTTGCATGTAAATGTAAGATCGGAGAAATCTTGACAAACGATGCTGTGGGGGTGGCCATTGTATTGTGAGAGATTAGCATGTCAATGTAAGAAATTTGCTTGTAAATGTAAGCTCGGAAAGAGCTCGGAAAGAACCATCGCCAAATGTTGGTGGAAAAGGATGGCAGGCCGCCATTTACTAACACAGCTAACAGAGGCTGTGTTAGTGAATGTAACTCAGAGAGTCGAAAATAGCTGCTCACATAGGTAGGTAGGAAGGGAACATCACAGCCAGTTATGACCTAAACTGGTTAATAACGTCCTTCCAATTATTGCTGAGTTTGCACCCGTCTTATCGGTTGAAATTGTGTCTGTGTTAATATATCTGGATGGCTTCGTGAACGAATCTTTGCTGATAGCCAGTGGGCTTGCAGAGTACCCTCGTCTTTGCAAAATCAACGTCGTGTTTGCCCACAGCATCAAAACAATGATCAGCCATGGCTGAGGTATTGGTCCTACCGTGTTTCAGATCTGCTTCACGTTCATTCTACCTTTGCGTACGCGCACAATGTGGTGACTTTCATTTCCACTGCTGGCTTTTGAGCCCGTGCTGCCCAGAAGCTGCCCCGAAGGTAATGGGGATGATTAGTTCCACTCTTCACACAACAGAGGGCCTCACAACGGGCCTGTGAAGGGTGATGTAAAGGAAGGGGTCCCCACGTGGTGTTGTGCCCCAGGCCTCTGGACAGTCCGGCTGTGAACCCAAAGAATACATTCCACAATTCCATGGACCAGACCAGTGTCTCTTCTGTCCTTAGGGCCACTGCTGACTTCCCACATCGGTGAGTCAAATCCAACAGTGTCTCCCTGCTCAAAAAAACGAAGAAAAAAAAGTAACTCTAGTTATTTAACTAAGTAAGGCCCAACTGAGCTATATAGCTCTTTTTTCAGGAGCGATGTGGCTACAAACAATAGCTAAACGAAGTGGCTTATCCTGTGCAAATCTAAATCAGCCAAATACTCTAAACACACGTTTATTCTAAATGAGGACGGATAAAACCGGAGGACCCGGAGAAAAATCAAACTCCAAATATACAGCAGCAGCAGGCGTCAGGGTCGGGATCGAACCCATGACCTCCTGTATACCAGGCAAGGTAGTTAACATCTCCTAGCCACCGTAATGATGATGATGATGAGAAAGAGACACAAACTACAAATATAGAGCAGGTGCCAGGGTCGAGATCAAACCCACGACTTCCTGTATACCAGGCAAGGTAGTTAACATCTTGTCACATTGGCGTCCCTTGCCACCATGGGTGCCCCATGACCAATGGCGCACCATTCATCTTCACACAAGCACCGCTGCTCAATTTCCACGGAGTAGTATTTATTTTACTCATTCTGGAACAATAATGAGCATGCAACCTCCAACCGGGATTCAAATCCACGCTTTTCCAACTGCAGTGACACCTGGCAAACTCATTGAAAAGGTGTATCCACTTACTCCAAATGAATTGCTACAATACGAATGCCTGGCAGACGCAACGGCAAATCGAACCATCAACCCTGCGAACAAGAGCCGAGTGGGCGAGAATGTCGACCGCCGGAATATAAAACCGGCTCGATCAATAACTACTGATGCGAGATTTTTTTCGCCGACATCGTCAGAATTCCAAACAGCCGCGTGCGAGAAACACTGGCGAAATGTGCCGACTGTGCATTCGGTCAACAGCCCCCGGCCACATGTCCTGCAAAGCGGCGTTTTTGAAAACCACGACGGCATCATTCTCAGCTGCCACCGCCAATGGCCATGCGTCAGAGAGCCGTAAGCGAAGACGCACCGAGATGATGAACTAAAAATGTCCGGCTCAGGGCCGAGATAAACGACGGGTTCAGAATTACAATTTCGTTGGGTCACCGATAATTACGTAAATTAATACGCACTTTAAAAACTATATATATACGTTTTATATGTTCGAGGCCAGTCCTGAGGATTAATTCGACATTCATACCAATGTATTCACTCAGCCAAGCAACACAGTTTTGTGGATGTGCATTAAAGACTGTTGAATCAGAATCTTTATATTTATACTGGAGGAATCCGATGAGCTATAAAGCTTTTTTTTTATAGATGTCTAGTCAGATGTCAGGTGAAGGTGATGAAAAGAAAATGGCACCACTGCCCCGTGCCAACACCAAGAGCTGATCGCCTGCCAGTCCACGGTGGCTATGCACACAGCCTGCAATCCAGAACAGTGGATGCGAGGGTTGGTGGACCACACATATGTTGCGAAGAGCCCTGCCTACGCTCGCCAGAACGCAGCGCAGCCAAGTGTGGACCAACATATCATCTAATCCGTTCTTTGGTTTTTTCGGTAAAGGCACGTATAAAAATAAAATAATAAATTAAATAATAGCATACGACGTTTCGATTGCAACACAAGCAATCAGCATCAGGTATAATGAAATAGCGATATAGAATATAACCAGAAAACTATAGACAGACATATAAGCAGACAGATATCACCAAGATACATAGAGAGAGCAACCCAGGTACAGAGAGAGGTGATCGTCTCTGTGGGGTGGCCTTAAATAGACAGAGGGGGGCGGAGGCAGAGAGAGGGAGGGGGTAGGGAAAACATTTACATGTCAATGAGTGCGAAGGGAGGGGAGTAAGGCAAGCAGGCTTAGAGGGAGACAGAACACACTAAATTAAATAACCTAGCAAAGTATCGAAATGTTATGTAAAACGACACAGAGAGTCGGTCAACACACAATTAACGCATTGCCTGGTCGATTACGTATTTCAAAGATTGCTAAGTTAGAATTTAAGTGTGAAAATTCCAAAGAAAGACAAAACATAAAAAAGAGGAACGGAGACACACAGACAGAGCAGAACCTAAGAACGATACAAAACGAGTGTAGACAGAGAAAATTACACTAAATATACAGGCAGAGAGAGAGAACAAGAAACCCAGAGAGAGAGAAAAAGGTATGTATCTTGGTGATATCTGTCTGCTTATATGTCTGTCTATAGTTTTCTGGTTATATTCTATGTCGCTATTTCATTATACCTGATGATGATTGCTTGTGTTGCAATCGAAACGTCGTATGCTATTATTTAATTTATTCTTTTATTTTTATACGTGACTTTACCGAAAAAACCAAAGAATAATTCCTGCAGTCACGAAAGCTCCAAAATTAAGATTTAATCCGTTCTTCACGATGTAATGACCAAGACATCAGATCACTCACCTGAAGCACGCGTACGGGCAGACATACAGTCAGGAAAGTAGGCCAAGGCCTCCCATTGGTGCAGAGAGGCCTCAACAGCGATTGGTCGGGAGGCAAGGTTTAAAGGGATTGGAGGAGAGGTTCAAACTGAAAAGGGGTGAAGTAAAGGTTGAGCGTTGAGGCGACGGTTGACAGCCATTGAGGGAGGACGGGAATTGGCCGATAGGAGGACGGTGATATAAGTTTCGAGAGAAGGAGCTCGAAGGGGGGGGGGGGGACGTTCGCAGGGAGAGTACCGAACTTCAAGAGACAAGCAAGAAGCTGGGCCTAGTGTTGGTGCTGTGTCAAATAAAAGTCTCCGAGTGCGTCGGCGTTATTGCAATGAGATCGAGTGTTGCCCCCTTCGGACGTGTCGGGGGTTTGTCTGGGTGCGGTGGTTTCCTCCAACAGGCAAAAACACTCATTACTTGGTCGAATACATTTTAATAACCAGAGGGCTGCAGAGCTTGCACAATTGTTTGTTGCCAGCTCGACCGCCTGGCTGCCTTCCAGCTTTGTCTGCGGTTTCTCGGCGATTGTGCGATGTAATTTGGATGCACGACGATGCTATGAAGAAAGAAACAGACGTTATTGATATTCTTGATAAGGTCACTCGCCCCACCACACCACATCCAGCATCACAATCACGCCAGCAGTGGCAGACTCTACGCCACCGTTCCGACTCTGGCCTGGCACTGGCTCAAGCAAGCCGGCTCAAAGCCACTCTTGACTTGAGCCGGCTCTAAACTAAATTAAACTTTTTTATTTTACCAGGTAAGGCTCACTGAGCTATGTAGCTCTTTTTCACCTGGATACGAATGGTAGCTCAAAGGAGTGGCTTATCATGTGAAAATGTATAGCAGCCAAGTACTCTAAATACATGTTGATTCTAAATATGAAGGGGGAAGTGGAAGACCCGGAGAAAATCCATGCGACTACGGGGTGAGAGAACATGCAAATTCCAAATATACAGGTGTCAGGGTCGGGGATCGAACCCACGATCACCTGTATCCCAGGCGAGGTAGTTAACATCTCCTCGCCACCGTGCAACCGTCTGAGTGTGGTCCCAGCTGTGCTCAGGAGGCTGAGCTGAGCCTGAGCTGAGCCTGAACTGAGCCATGGCTGAGCCGCTCGCGCTCGAGCGGATCAAGCCGGAGCTGAGCCACGTCAGAGGCCGGGCCAGAGTTGGGCCGCGACCGCCTAAAGTCGACTCGCACAGTCTAAATTACCAGCATTGCGTCCTCTCCTTGGCCATTGACCAGAATGGGGGGGATGAACCGATATTATTCCTTCGCTGCAAAACTCCGGGTCAGATGTCAACTGTGCAAACTGCCGTGATGTACGGCAGAAGGAGAGATGTGACGGTGTGGGGCTGCGGTGGCATCATCTCCG